CAGTGTACTTGGGGGCGGAGCAAGCATGGCATGTGATACTGGAAATCAACCCCCAGTCCCTGAGCTTGTCTAAGTAGGTACGTAAGTCCCATGAGCTAGCTCACCAGCCCTCTGGTAAACTTTCTAAAGCAGGAGCCAGTGGATAAGAAACTGGTTCTATGCTAGAAGATACCTCATAAATTTAACAAAAGAGGTCAGATACCTACAGTGAGACCTATTACCAGTAACCTGGGACAAGAAGGGAATGTACCTGAGTGAAACTGCCACATGAAGTAAGATGTAGTACTAAAACTCAGCCTGAACTGATTAGAACCTACAAATACTTTTTATTTCTTCCTTTCACTGCAGTAAGGTAACAGGAAGGATGATGAATTAAATGAAAATGTGTATTACTGATAAAGTCTGTAGGCCTAAAAGGACTTGTGAAATAGAGTTGCCAATATAATTGTGGGTGTCAACAGAAAATTCTAGCTGTGTAATCATTGCAAAATTTCCTTGTGCAATGGTATGTGGCAAATGAATTCTACTGTCTCTACTTTTATAGTATTCTACTATTTCTGGTTAGGAGGCAGCTAAAGTAGGAATTTTGGAGTTAACAGCATTTGGGCAATTTGTTTACCTATCTGACTCACTTACGACAATATGAGGAATCCAAAAGCAGGAGTAATCCAGGGTTTATCTGCAACACAGTCTATACTAGCCTGTCAATAAAAATGTGTTGAAAGTAGCTTTTCTAAAATCATCAAGAGTCAGGGATATAGCTCAGTGGCACAGTGCCGGCCTGGCAAGTGTGAAGTCCTGAGTTTGATTTGTTCAACCAAAAAAAAGAAGAAACAAGAAATCATTAAGAATGAAGCCTGGGTGGGCCTGGTGGTGCACATTTGGAATCCCAGCACTTGGGAGGCAGGTGGATTGCTACAAGTTTGAGACTAGCTTGGGCCCCATGATGAGGCCCAGCCTGGACTATATAGCGAGACCCTGTCTCAAACAACAACAAAAATGTAAAACTAGTAGACTGTTTTTCTTGCCTCCTCAGTGACTAGCAGCTCTTTCATGGATAGTATTCACCTACTCTTCACCAAAGGAAAGAAATACTGGGTTACTGATGTTAATGAAGTATATTAACTTCTGACACTAGATAATTTAGGAGAAATACTGGGCTATATTAGAAAAGGATTTTTTTTTTTTTCAGTCTTGGGGATTAAACCCAGGACCTCCACATTGAGTTACATCTCCAACACTTTTTAATAATTTATTTTTGATACAGGGTCTTAGTAAGTTGCCCAGGCTGGTCTTGAACTTGAGATCCTCCTACCTCAGCCTCCTAAGGTACTAAGATTACAAATGTGCACCACCAGAACAGGCCAAAAAAGAGGATCTTACTGAGAAAAAAATCACGTGGAATAGGGCCAGCAAGATAACTCAGCAGA